TATACGTCTTTTTCGTGATTAAAATATCTGCTTAATAGAATTACTATACTTTTCGAACGCCAAATTTCAGCAATTCTATCATACTCCACCATGAAAATCATAGCAGCTATTATGATAGCAGATAAGGTGGCTTTTGGTATGAAATAAAATGTATTGGTGAGAAAAGCCAAGGTCATTACAACTAATATGCCGGTTATTGCGCCACCAAGGACTGTTTTCACGCCGCTCGCATTATTTATTGCTGTACGCGTAAATGATCCCGAAATAGGAATGGATGAGAAAAAACTGCTGAAAATATTGGCTAAGCCTAGAGCTATCATTTCTTGTGAAGCGTCGATAATTTTTCCCATCGCTATAATAGAAGAATCAAATTAATTATAAAACCAATTAAAAATTAAAAATATATATTAATAAGTACTTACAAAAAGATTTTGCCACAGCTATAGTCTCGAGCACAGCAATGAGGGGTATAGAAACCAGTGAAGCACCCAAATCCTCCATCATGTCTTCAAAATCAATTTTTGTGCCATTGATTTCGGTATGAAATGGTGGTATTTTAAAGGGCGGGAGGCCAGGTACAATTTTCCCGCTTACACGAAACGGCAACCAGTTATCGCTACTGAGGAAATAACAGAGTATAATGCCAACAAAAACAGCCAACGCATTACGGGACAATGATATGTATTTAGTCAGACTTTTATAAGAACTGTTAATATCTTTTATTTTCTGAAAACGCGTGAGAACTCGTTAATTTAAGATCAGTAATAATTTTGGTTGTTGCCTTTACTTACACGCATAATTAGCAACATAATTAACGTAATTATACCCAGTAAAGCATCGTTGCGTTGCGTGGTATTTATATGTTTAAAGAAATATGTCCACGATTCTATGAACTCATTGCTCGTACCTAAATTGAAAAAGTTGTTTTGTATTTATTATTTTGGTTTTAGTTGTTTCCTTTTATGAAAATTAATTCAATACAATAGGAATACAGTGAGATAATAAAAGAGGGTGAATTATTCTTAACTTTCAACAATAATATTTATACTTTTTGTTATAAAAGTTTTTAAATCCAATTTAATTCAGCTAAATATTTCCTGTAATCTTGAACTAATTGAACTAATCTGCATTTTTGGCCGGTAATGTAGCCTTATTACTGAGCTAGTTATGATCCAACCATGTGTTAATAGTGTTATTATTATTTTTGTTTAGGTAATAAAATATTTAAATGATTCTTACATACATGAATTTTGAACAAATGCTTATGCATTGATCCCTTGTACTAAGATACCTCCCCACAAATTTTCAGCCAAATCGGTTTAGCCGTTCTAGAGTTATAAATAGAGTATCTACAACTAACACGTCTTTCTTATATATATACTAATACATAGCACGCGATCTTCAATCAGTAGTAAAACTTACTGGATATTCCAAACAAGTTATTAATTTGTCCACTAGCAATTGTTATTGCTGCGGCCATGGTAAATCCTGTCGTCACGGGTATCGATATAAATTGCACCAGAACGCCAAGATTTAAAACACCCATTAAAAGTGTGATGACACCGGTAAAAAAACATGCCAATATAGCGTAATCAGCATTGTGAGTGTGCGCTTGGACCATTACAGACATAATGGCAGTGGGACCTAAAAATTAAAAGATGTCGCTGGTGTGTAATTTATTCTCAAATGAGAGAGTTGAGTAGGGTTACGAATATTAGTGCAAAGATTGTGAGACATTAAGAGAGTTCTCAGATTATGTATATGATTTGTGTATAACTCACACTTACCGATGGTCACATCCTTGCAAGTGCCAAAAAATATATAGACAAAACAACCCATGAAAGCTGAATATAACCCATATTGCGGTGTTAATCCCGCTATTGTGCCATAAACGATCGCCTGCGGTATGGCGGTTAAGCCCACCGTTAGTCCCGCAACAAAATCGGGTATAAGAAAATTCAGTTCGTATTTCGGTAACCAGGTAATGATGGGGAAAAATTTCTTTGCGGTGGCGGTTGTGCAACAATTCTTTGCAGATTTCAGAACTTCTTCATATATTTTTGGTAGTTTCTCGTGGTAGATTTCTTCATCTGTGTACACATTGAATAATATACATAAATTATCACAATTTGCAAAAGGAAATACATACATTTATACATAGTATATGTGACCTGGTCTACGGAAAGGGGGCTTAGGTGTCAAAAAATCCAAAAAATCAATTTTCACTTTTTAGTTGATTCGGATGGAAGATGAGATTTTTATCATTACTTTTTTTAAATTTTTTTTTTTCGCACGTTAGCCCCCATTTCGTAGACCAGGTCACATATAGTGTTTTACTATCTGAAGTCAAACTTTCCATTTTTTATAGGTTTCTCATTAATTTTCAAAAAAGAGAGAATAAAAAAATGTTTTCTTATTATTTAACTTGTTTAATTTTTTAACTATGTCTAATTATTTTCAAAATGGCACAAATTTGTGGAGAAATTCGTTTTATAATCTTTTCACCAAAACTAAGAGTTTTTTTGAAATCGATGAAAGCTATTTTAGCGTAATTGTCTAAAACTCGATTTGATTTCCACGTAATAAAAACTTGGTTGTACGACGGACGCTGTTTGTTTTTTCCTAAATTTTTTTTGAAGTGTTAGGTTGTCAGTGTTTATCTGCATGCATTAAGTTTCTATGTAACTTTCAATTAACATTAAAGTAATCGCTTAATGGATTTTGTTTGTCAATATCAATACACAATAAGCTGTATTCTGCGAAATTTTGCCTATTCAGGCCATTTCACATATTGTTGTATCCTAAATATTACTTCCTGCTCACCACATTCACACATTTTGTATTCGCACCTTTTAGCTCGGTCATTTTTGGCTATATTTATTTTTATTTTTAGTGTTATTTTAATTAACAGCGTTTCCGTTTTCAAACTTTTTATCCGTATATCTGTTATTGCTGCTCCGATTGTTGCACCTTTGCCCACCGACTGATTCGGAATGAAAAGTTACCTTGCTTAGACTGATGTTTTTACTTGGCCCACCTGTAGCTTAACTTGAATATAGCGTTCGGCATAGTATGTGACGTTTCGTGCATATACACTTCTTTTTATCATTAGTTCGGCCAATACAGGCCACCCGCCTGTGTCCATAGGCTAACTTAGCTTACACTTTCATCGTGTGTTTGGAAATCAGTATCTGCGACGCGTTTTTCAGTGTTGACTCTCAGTTATCATCAATATATAAGTTCGCTTGGCAGGTGTATGGATGTATGAATTTTTATTCCTTCTTAATGTTGTATGATTACTGACTTACTTTCACTTATTACAAACAAACATTGAGTTAACTCTATTTGATTGTGATATTTGTTTACGTATTGTAAGTGTACATATTTGTCTAAGTCTAAGCCTGATTAGCGAGAATTTTATTTCGTCTTGCAACAAAACATATCTTAATAATACATCTTGTTCAATTTCTTTAATATTAATATTTCTGCAAATTACACTATTCTTAGAGTAAGGTGTTCTTATGTTAGGAGCTCGTATTTTCACTTAGATGCCAATCAAGTTGTTATCGTTTAAATTTGTCATTCTGGGAAATTTTTAGATGCCGCTTATACATATAACGTTTTGAATTATTGACAGCTTTATCAATCTGATAAGTGTTAAATATTGAATGTGCATTCAATCGGAGCGCAACATTAAATAAATATTGGTCTTGCTTACTTCAAAAGTGTCTAGATAAATTCAACAGTTTTTAAACATTTCATAATTTCAGATAATAATATAATTATATTATTAGATAAATCCCAAAACAAAACAATCGCATCAGTAGCTCTTGCAGATTATTCGGAAGAAAAGGACGCGTGCGAAATTTCACATACAGACGGACCGGACTAAATCGACTCAGCTCGATGATCATGTATAACATATACAGCTGGGGGCAATTAAATATTAGTGGGTACCAACACCTAAGTATTTTTCAAATGTAAACAATTTTAAATAGTTTTTGCTCTGGTTGCATTGCAGATGTAAAATGCAGTAAAAAGGATTTATTAAGTAAAACTTAATTTTACACGTTAAGTGGAGCAATAAATTGGTATGCATAGAAGAAGTTATATGAAATTATCGTTGAAAGCTATTTTTGAAGTTCTGTCTAAATCTGTACTTAGTAATTGGTAGGACGAGTTTTGGTTTTAGTCACAACTATACAACTTCATTTCAGCGGCATGTTATGTTCTGCAGATAGTAGTATAAATGCATATGCGTGCTGATTGAAGGTCATACTCTGTATTCGGGAGAATTTTCCTCTCTTCAGTCCAAAGTATGTTCTTTCATTTCCCTATTGTCCTGTTGAGATATTTCTTTGCAAATGCGAGCATACAAATTATGATATCGTTACCTTCTTATCATAATATGAACACCTTACGCTAAATTAATTCGTCCCGAATCTCTACATCAGACATTATTGGTGGAGTTTTGGTATACCTGACAGTGTTTTGTTCGCCAACCTCTGAAAGAATTCTTTGTATGCTTCTGTATTCTTGTTGCTTTCTAAACGTTACAAACGTTATGGAATCGTCTAATTTTTCCCTAAGTCATCAATAGACATAAACATTTGAAATCCCAATTTCAGCCCACCATTTTTGTTTCTTGACAACGAGTCGTCTTGAATTGACCAAATCTGCTAGATTAGAAGCACATGCAAGATAGTGGCTGACATATGTCATTTTTGTGATGTTTATGTCTTTTGATGGAAAATTATCTTTAAAAAAGCTAGTCTTATTTGAATCCAATAAACATAATAAATAAAATGATTGGCGGCTGTAGAAGTAAAAGGCTATCAGTAATTTATAGCACCGTCTGTTTTTTTCCAGACGTTGACCAATAGACAAGAACTTAAAATTTACTGATTTGAATGAAATGTGTATATAGTACATCTGAAGTGTATGCCGTCGAAAAGTTGTATGATATTATATTTAACAATTTCTCAATTTTTTCATTTCAGGTGCACACAGTTAAGGATTCTCTAAAGATCCCTATTGCCGTGTTAAAGGCTGGAGAAACACGGGCTGTAAATCCCGATGTGGAGTTTTACGAAACATCATTGACATTTAAATTGATCAAAGGCAATGGACCTGTTTACATAATGGGCCAGAATATAAAGGACGACGTTGTCGATATCGAGGACGAAGAAACTGACGAGGAAACTGGTGAGGAGGAAGAGGAAGAGACACAACCACAAAAGAAAAAACAAAAAGTGGAAAATAATTCCGATGGCAAAAATGCTAAAAATAAGAAGAAATAAACAAGTTTTTTAGCAGTCACAAAACAAAAATCCTATACATTCTTCAAATTAATTATTGATTTTAAGCTAAACTGATGAAAACAAAACATCAATTATATAAGATTATTTCAGTTTCTCAGTTAGGTTTCGTGATTTTATGAGTTTTTATATAATTTTACTCAACTTACCTCAGTAATTTCTTAATATTTATATACAACTAGTTCCTCAAAACCCTTGAGGCAAGCAGTTAGAGGTGGTAACCTCAGCCGTGACTATTGCAAGAAATTAAGAACTGGTTTCTCATTTAATTTCTTCGTTTGTTCATTTATAACACTTCTCAGCAAATAGTTTTAGACAGCGCTAATGCGTTTTAAATGTTTTGGAAACCAAGTATAAATCAGTTTGCGCTGTGAAAAAAAAACAGCGTTTTGGCAGGGATGCTTTCTATAGGCACTGATAATTACCATTGAGAAATGATTTCATATTCACTTATTCAATAATATTATAATGCATACGTATCTTGATTGCAGCTATAGTAGAGACTAATATTCTGGAATATAAATATAAACTAAATAAATCATCATTCATAGAATATGTATGTGTATGTATTGCATAAAGTATGCTACTACAATCTGAGAATAATATAACAAATTACAATTTTGTAGCTGTGCCAGAACGTCACCTAAAAACTGTCTAACGTTTATTAGTATAAGCCATTAAGCTTGAAAAAGAGCGCAAAGTTCAGGCATAAACTTTTGAGGTCTAAATACTAAAATCAACTAAAAATTAACATTCAATGGGTGGAGATAAGTCTACATGCACTATTGTAATTTGTACATACCAATCTAAGTGATAGAGATTTGTGGAGAAATTATGATGCATCCAAATTGGAATGCATATTGCAAAGAAAAAAACAAAAAACAAAGGAAAACTTAAGAAAACAAATAAAGTTTGTTTACTATTTTTAAAAATCTAACTGTTTGCTCAAGTTTTTATTTTAAGTTAAAAGTATCTGTTGTGGTTTACATTGAGAGAGAAAATGATTTCCATATTGTTCTCTGTCACGCCCAATAATTCTGATAAGCGCTCATTCTTATTTGTGTCGCACATTTTATTTTTCAGCAACAATGTAATCATTTGCCGAATGTTGTCTCTTCAAATATGTCATAGTATGTGTCTCGTTGTACGAGCATATCATATGCATGATCTACAATTTTCCTCATAGGTACGTCATATAAGAATATTTTTTGTGTTAATGCAATAATTTTAAATTTTGTCCGAACTACTATGCATTGATAAGCCGAGGAAATGAGGTGTTTCGAGGGGGAAAGAGGCGGATATGGTGGTATGTACAGACGTGTTCGAAATAATAAGAACAACCAAAGTGAATATCGAAATCATTGAATAAAATTTTCTCAGTAATATTTTATTGAACYTTTTTTTCTTAAAAAATTTATACATATTGTGAGTATTAAAAAAATTGAAAATCTGGTCATCAAATACGCACTAACTTTTTTGTACTGCAAATTTT